TTTTCGCATATTGTACACAGTATCAGGAGGATGAACCAGAAGCACAAGAATGAATCGACGAATCGTAAACTGCAAAACGTTCTTTTTAAATTCTTACAGGTTTGTGACATCTTGTGAATGCATTAATCAGTAGTATCAGGTTTTAGCATATTGAAAAACATATACACATTTGTTTTCCCTCTAGCTCATTTTATACACCTGTTTCTCAGGCTGAAGAAGAGTCACGAGCAAAGAGAGCATTTACTATCCTGTGCGATCTTCACCGTCGGAGGGTCTGGTTTGATGAACGCACAACAAATGCAATATGCGATGCTTGTTTCCACCCTTCCTCTAGGTACATGCTGCTAGAACATATTTTTTAGAAATTCTATTGGCTGCTCCCAACCTAAAATGATTGTCATTAAATGCAGGATTATGATAGCTGCTATTTCATTCCTTCTTGGATATGAAAATGCTCCACAAGAGGATGACAGCGACGCATCAAGCAGTGAAGATGAAGCAGACCAAAACCCACAAATTCTTCTTAGTAAACAGGATGTTTATAAGGTGCTTTAACTTTTTAATTGTGCCTCAACTGATATTTTTTAGATATACTTGCTTTGCTTTGCTTTATTCCCTCTGATGCATCGTTTGTATTTTGTTGGTATATGAATTCTCAGGCAAATCACAAGGGTACAGCTGCTAGTAAGAAAAAGAAGAAAGCTAAATTACAGCGTGTCATTCGTAGCATCAAAAGGCAACAGCGGAAATCTGTTGAGGAGACTGGTTCCAGTTTCTATTCACCCCTGACATATTTAAAGGATGCCCAGGTGAGATAGTGCCTCTACTATCTATGGAATGGCATATCCACTTGTTATCTATGAAACACCTCTATTATGCTAAGTGTTTTTTTTTTCTATGGCAGGGTTTTGCTGAGAAGCTTTTCTCTCGGCTGCAGAAGTGCAATGAGCGATTTGAGGTCATACTCATTTTTTGTACATTCATAATGTTGCTAATGCCTTCTTTGACCTTCTCTTTAGTAAGAATCAATCATTTAAGCTTCAAGAAAATCTTTTGCACTGCAGGTAAGGATGATGATGCTAAAAGTAATTGCGAGGACTATTGGGCTGCATCACTTGGTTTTGTTGAACTTCTACCCATATCTTCAAAGATACGTTCAAGTATGTTATTTAAAATGGTATTTTTGTTTGCGTCAGCCTTTGAAACACCAACTAGTTTGGTAATACTAACTCAGGTATAATTTTTGATACATCTCTGTGCAGCCTCATCAACGAGATGTGACGACTCTACTCGCTGCAGCAGTTCAGGCTTGCCATGATATGGTTGCACGTCTTCAAAAGTTCATTCCTTTGCAACTAATGATTCCACTTGCATTACTTTTTTTCTGAATGCAAAGTATGTGTAAATGTTAGGTACCTCCAGATGCTGTTGAACCACTGTTCAAGCAGATAGTAAATCAGTTTGTGCATGACCGTTCTCGCCCAGAGGTTTGCATGACCCTTTTTCAGCATACGGATTATGTGTTCTTCCATCTAACAAGATTGCATGAACATATATCTGACTTCACTTCTTTTAGGCAATTGCTGTTGGCTTAAATGTTGTGAGAGAGATCTGCATCAGAATGCCTTTGGTAGGTACCTTGATCTTTTGGTTGCCTTAAACAATACTCTGTCTGCAATGGTATTAGACAGATACCCCTAGGCACCGGAACTGAAAGCTAGTGCTTTTGTTAGTTGTGTTTCATATATGACGTAAGAAGATGGGATAATGGCCATATTTTCACTATTTTTTCTTTTCTGTATTAATTACTGATAGACTGAAAAGGTTGCAATATTGTGATGCTAAATATTTGAAGCATGTAAATAACTGAATAGGAATATAGTTGTGAACGGTTTTAGTTTGTGGTTGGCTGCCATTATTGCTATTGTGGTGGAATCTTGCTGATGTAAATCTGAGATTCCTGTGCATTCTAGAATATCTGGGGAGATGTACAGTTTCTTTGTTGCACTTATCTTTGTACTTCATCCACTCATACGGGAAATCTGCAGATGATGAATGAGGATCTGCTCCAAGACCTCGTTTTATACAAAAAGTCCCATGAGAAAGCTGTTTCCATTGCTGCTCGTTCGCTGATCACATTGTTCAGAGAGGTTAGATCTTTTCTTGCAAATTTTCCAATGTTTTTTTTTCTGTATGTTAGAATTCCCTGTTGCTAAACCTCTGTTAATTGAAGTTCAGATCTGCCCTTCATTGTTAGTCAAGAAAGATCGTGGCCGTCCTGTGGATCCAAAGGCTCGGCCCAAAGCATTTGGAGAAGTCACTGTTGCTAGCAACGTGCCTGGTGCTGAGTTGCTAGATGAAAATATTTCTTCAGAAGGGGAAGGCTCTGATGATGAGTCTGATGCTTTTGATTCCGATGATGACATGGACTTGGCATCTGCCCCTACTGGAACAGAAGAAAATATGGAGGGTTTATCTGTTGCAAACAAACATGATGCTGACGGAGATACTAAAGAGGAAGATGAAGCATCTGATGATGAAGATGGTACAGGTCAAGATGACTCCAACAATGATAGTGATGAACTAGACGATGACTCTGACATGGACGCTGATACTGATATATCTGATGAAGACGAAGACGATGATGATGAACTGAAAGAAAGCATAAATGGTTCAGAGGATGAAGCTTCAGACCAGGATGAAGACAGCGATGAGGAAGACAAGTCAAAAGGCAGTGGCTCTAAAGTGGAGAAGAGGAAGTTAAGTGATTATATTGGAGAGCTAAATGCTGCTGATGCAAGCCTTCGAGCTCTGAAGAGGTTAGCAACTGCCAAGAAGGCTGAAGTTTCATCTGATGAAACTGGTAAAATTCTATCCGATGAAGATTTTAAACGCATCAAAGAACTCAAGGTATGTGAATTCTTGATGGCTTATATATCTACAGTATTTCAAAAAGCTACTTGTGGCAAAATAAATTTGCTCACATTCTGTTCTTAGATGGATCATGGATGTCTTAACCGAATATATTTGTGTTTCAGGCGAAGAAAGAGGCAAAGCTGGCTTTGGCTCAACATGGACTAATCAAGGGTGGTGACACGAGATCTGTAACCTTTAAGATGCCATCTTCTGATCAGCTCAGTAGGAAGCGCGTTGATCCACTTGAGCTTGAGGTGCTCTCCCTCACCCTTTATTGTGCACTCACACAGTGACACGACACTAATAAATTTTGTGACGCAGGCTCATGTCAGGAGAAAGATGTCGAAGGAAGAAAGGTTAGCGTTAGTGAAAGCTGGGAGAGAGGATAGAGGTCCGTACATGGCGAGAACGGCTGTGAAACAGAAAAAGGTAAACTTGCAGGCTGTTAATGTTTGTTTTGTGGTGACAACATGGCTTTTTAATTCGTACTTTTCGGTCTAGTGCTTCCTTGCCACCAGGATCATCGTCTAATCGGTTGTTGTACAACCTCTTCTGATTGTATGATTCATAATGCCTTGCAGACCGGTGGCCTGAGCAATAAGCAGAAGCAGCACAAGAAGAGGATGCCCCTGGCAGCGACTAGAGCCAAGGCAGCACGTTCTCGGCAGGAGAAGAAGCAGCAGCGCAAGCGCTCTGGGAATCAGTTCAGGGGCCGCAAGGCTTGGAAATGAGCACGAGCTGCTGCTTTGCAATTCATCTAGCCAAATGGCCAAAATTTTGACTCTTGTAATAACAATTCAGATAATGTTTCCAGCCAGTTATCTCAGGGCATGTGCATGTGAGCTTTTCTTTGCTAAGGCAAGCAAGCTAAAATGGATCTTCTGGGCTGGCAACTTGGCAAGACAAAGCTTGCTCAAGGGGTTGGATTTCCCCTTCGGTAGTATTTCTAGCTTGTTTTGTTAAGTCCACGTCAATCTACATGGATTGATTAGGTACACACTGGATATTGCTTTGTTAGCTTCCGTGATTATCTGGTGTATGCAGCATACGGCGACTGCACTGGAATCATCATAATCATATGTTTGTTGGTTCGGAAAAAGGAAAGGAAACAGAAAGCAGATATTTACCATGTTTATGACGTGCAGCACATCCAGAAGCTCAGTCAATCTTGGCCGACGGGACGTGCCATTTTTTTCCTTGACCTCCTACAAGCAGGACTTGTCATGTTATTGCGCGCTCAGTTTCATCGTCTACTCGCATACCTGTCTTGCGACGAAAAAGATCAGCTTGCTCGGAGTCACCAGCTAGCACCATCGACTCCGGTGATGTCGTCGTCCGTAGGGGAGAAGACGACGGCGTGCGTGACAGGGGGCAGTGGGTATGTCGCCTCGGCGCTCATCAAGACTGCAAAGTCTGATCTGCACGCACTTTCTTCGACAATCTCACTGTTTAATGTTCATGCATGCCTTGTGTAACGTAGATGACATGGCGAAGAACTACCACCTCAAGGACTTGCAGGCGCTTGGCCCCTTGCAAGTCCTCCGCGCCGACCTGGACGAATAAGCTTTCCACACTAATCGATATGTTTGCAAAATCATAATAACAAACATGGTTAAATAAGAATATATGGCCATCAAAGGATGGTCAGATCTTTGCTGGTTTAATTTCTTAGCCAGCGAAGTCTGCTGGTTTATATTTCTTATCCAGCAAGCAAACATTCGCTGATCATCAGCAGGCCCATCTCAGTTTCTACTCCCTGCTACCTGCTGAACGACGGTAGGATGCCCAACGAGACAGAATTCACCAACAGTCTAGACTCTGCCATACTCTGTAGTTGTTAAGCATGACAGCAGTTCAGACCAAAAGAGGATGACTGCACGATCAGACGGACACACCGATGCAACGTTAGGAAGCACCATCTGCAATCACATTGGATTACATGTTGTGTCTGAATGTGCTGCTGAAATATCATAGTAGTGTGCATAGCAGTGTTTGATTTCTTCTTAGATAGCTACTCTAGATTCCAAACAAGCAGAGTAACAGATGATCTTCTCCTGAACATCCATTGTTGGACAGTTGAGGCTTTAGTACTTCAGTGCTGGCTTCTGGGTTGGCAGAAGTGCAAATCTCTTCTTCAACAGATACCGCTGGCGAGAGTACTTGTCATCTGGTGAGAAGCGAGCTGCAGCACAAGGAAAAAGTTTCAGTAAATCAAGTTGAGAGAAATGGACCATGAGAGGGCACTCGAATTATTGAATGAACAATCAAAACCACAAAATGCAACCATGAAATAACAAATTCCACATGTTTCAATTCTGCAGGCTACATCTTTGTTTGGTCATATACATCGACAATACAAGTGTTCACATTTAGTCTTTTTACACATTTATTAGTCCAAGTACAACAGAATGAAGCTTTAATCTGGCAAACATTTATTAGTCCATTAATGACTGGTCAGAATCCTAGATCATAAACGAATGTCAGGTGATTCATTGATCATATATCATATAAAAGCAAACGAAACTGTCACTGGAAAAGAAAAAAAAAATGATCTGCAGTTTTGATAGGTACCATTACTCTTTATTCAGATCCTCATTTATCTGCTTCAAATACTCAGAATCCAAACTCAGAAGAACTTGAAGATAACATACGATCGAATAAATGACGCAAATCAAGTGGGGCTCCAACCAACTCTACAAACATGTCTACTGCTATTGAGTAGACCGCCATGACTGCATCCTTCAACCCAACAAAACAAAGCTACCCAACTATTACGTGTTGGCCAGTAAGTAACATAACAACAGTAACAAAGGAGTAACTCCAGTGAACAAAGACAGCGTACCCGGGTGAGCAGACTGCGTCGGTACCCCAAGAGGCGACTCCTTCTGCAAAGCAAGAACAAAGGTACACAAATTAGCATGGGCTAACACCCCAAAATCACCAGCTATTCAGTGAAGAGTAAGCACAAGCTCATACAACCTTGGTGGTGTAAACCTTGTCCCCCTTCTCGTTGATGTAGTACTGGAGATACATCTTGAATCCACGTGCACGGATGAGCCCTGATAAATCCAACATGAAGAAAGAAGAATCACTTACTATATGGACAATACTCACAGCAAACAAAAGAAGGAGAGACTCAGGACAGGTAGCAAAGTTTTCTTTATCGAGTCTGGTGATGGCAGTACTAAAATGCAAGGATGTAGAAAGACCAATAGAACTATAATTCTTACACAGACCCTCAACAAAGATGAATAAACAAGCAAGTCCCTAGGAATTTGAGAAGATCAGAATAAGCACTATCGCATGAAGGCTTTGAGTTTCCTTATTAATCCTACCTACAAAGTAGGTGCCGGGGGGCCTTTGCCCCACGGTTTTTGCTCAAAAAAAAAAAATCCTAACTACAAAGTAATTTCTCCAATATCCCCAAATTGCTACCCTCTTTTTTTTTTACCATGATAAGTAGCCTAATCTCAGGCTAGATGCTTCACCAACTTCCCACACTCATTAACAGAATCGCTTAAGAGCTCATTGATACAAACAAAATACTACAAGATGACACCATCCTTCCATTCCGTTCGTTTGCTGTTGTATGATTCTACAACATGAATATGGAATGCATGATGACTGTACTCACTGAAGATAATATACAGTTGCAGTCTTGCAGTCTTCCAGATATGCATCATTTCAACTTGACCTCGTCATCAGTTAAAAAGAACATGACAATACAGTGACAGGTATGCATCTAGGCAATTCTGAAAATGCGCATGGAGCAAATTCGCATCTAGAACATGTGGCCCTGCCCTTCCCACCAAACAGAGCTCGACATCTCCTGACTCACTGCTACAGAGTTCAAATCTTGAATTAGGGCTGGGGATTGGGGCTCACCTTGGGAGGACCGGAGCGGGATTGGAGGAAGGGCAGTCACCGGACGAGGGTGTCGATGTGCGAGGTGCCGAACTGCCGATGTGTGTGTGGGTGGCGGCGCGGTGTAGCTGCGTTGCGTGCGGCTGGCTGGCGGTGTGGGCGTGGCCGACTGGGGCGTTGGACGCGGGACTGGGAAATGGGAATGCCTAGGTCATACCGTGGGCTGGGCCGGCTGTGGCTGTTTCGTGGGCTCAATTGATATAGCTAGACTTGAATTTCAGGAGGGAAGAGCCGTTGCCACAGACGCTCGAATTTCGTGGGTGTGGCGGTTGCCCGCCGTCCGCGCCTTGGACGCTCCGGGCGACCGGGCTACCGGCTCCAAGGACTCACTAGCATGCATTGGCACTTTGGCAGTTTACGATTGCAGTGCAGTGCGCGGAGCTTGGATGATCGAAGTTGGCAATCCGGCGATGGCATGAGCGTTAACTGCCGCCGCCTCAGCTCGTCGTTGTCTTGTTGCCCACGTCCCTGCCCTCGCCGCGCGCACGTTTCCCACGCCCCACCAAGGCACCACCAATCCACAGCTTGCGCGCGCGCGGAGTCAAAGTAGAACTGTCTGAGCCTGCCAAGCCCATCTAAAACGCGGCAGCTCACCACCTGCAGTTCTTCACTTCTTCCGCCCCACGCAATGCGCGCGCGCGACGGCGAGAGCACATCTGGCCGCCAACCTGACTAGAGGGCAGAGGCTCAACAACCCTTCTCCTCGATCCTCGCTCTCACCGAAGAGTGCACCACTGCTGCAAGCAGGATCCATGGCGGCGGCCGCCGGCAGCTCCCTCGTGCTGGGCCTCGCTGGGTCTTCTTCATCTTCTTCTCCCTCGTCGTCGCTCCCGGCGTCGCCGCCAGTGGCGGAGCCAAGATGAGCACCTCGGGGGCTAATGCAGCCCCTGGAATCCGAAGATTAATGGTCGCCGCCGTTTTTCTGACAGCCGATACAAAGCAAAATCACTCTCAGGGGGGGGGCTGCAGCCCCCCTGGATCCGCCAATGGTCGCCGCCGAGGCGGCCGAGGTTTGAGTTTCTCGTTGGCGGGCCGCGCAGGTGGTGCGTCCCAGACGCCAACACCAGCTACGACTGGTGGGCCATGAACAACCGGTTCCACGTCGGCGACCACCTCTGTGAGTATAGAATCATCATGCATTTCATTCGCCATTCTGTTAATTTGACCATGGGCCAAATTAATTTGACCATGGGCGACACGTTAAAAAACAAAGTCTTACGCTCAGCGTAAGAAATCTTACGCGTTCCTGCCGTGTAAAAGCTCTCCCCCGTCCTCCTCCGTGCTCGTTTTTTCACCCACGCACGTACCCGCCGATCGCCTATACCCACATACTAGGGAGAAAAAACTTACGTATCCTATCCAATCTATGGAACTGCCAGCACCGATCGGTTCTCAATCAGCGCCTCCTTCTCCATCCTTCTGTCTCCCTAGCGGAGGGCGAGCTGGCCCTTGCCGCCGCCGCTGTATTTTTTTTCGTGCCTCCTTGACGAGGCCGAGCCGACATCTTCTACGAGACCGGCTAGGCCACCACTCCTTTGCTTTGGGGTACCCTTTGCTTTGCCGTCCACCGTCCAAGATGATCAAGCCGTCACAACCTTACGGTCCCGGCGAGATCGCGTCTGCGGTCTGCCATAGCCAAAGAGCGCCATCGCACGTGAAGACCCAACTGACCTCAATGTCCATCTGTCGCTCCTGCCATCGTCCGGTCGTCGGTGAGCCTCCCTGCATCTTCCCTTTGTCTCTCTGACTCGCGCCTCATGTTCGTTTTCTGCTCATCCGTCCGTCATGCTAGCCTTCCATGCCAAGTGCATGCACCGCCCTGTGGGAACGAAGTCCGATGCTACTTTGTGTGTCGCCTTGCTGCTGCTTGCGATAGTTGCCTCTGGCCTGGAGAGTAGAAGCTGCCGCTAGGAAAATGATGTTGCCTACCAGGAACGTACGAACTACGAAGCTGCAAGACGTGCTCCAGGGCAGGTCCCTTCTATCTTCCATGCATGTTGCTTTCTAACTTCCATGCATGTTGTTTTCAGTTAATCAACCCTGTTTTGTTAATTGTCTACAGTTTGTGTCATGCCGTGTTCTATCTAATAATCCATTATTAGAATAATAGATGCTATCCTCCTATAGTCCTAACATACATCTTTGATCAAACGCTTCATCCTTTTATTAGTAACGTTTCGGTCTCTTCTTATGTGCTGAGTGGTGACATCATGACTCTCATGCGGCAGTGATACCGAGCTTTGAACTGGCTTGACACGAGAAAAGCATCGAGGCATGGAGTTTTTTGAACGAGTCAAGTAATAATTGGGAAAATAATTTGATCTTCGTGATCTTGGTTTCGCTTGATGTATAATGATTAAAAAAATAATGCTCGATCAATTTTAAAAATGAATAAATGCTAACTAATTTGTAATGGTTTTCAGACGAGCCGCCATCATATGCTTCCTACGTTGTGGATGAAATAGGACACCTGATCGCCGGAGGCAGGTGACCAAGTTTTGATCCCAACGAAGCACCGCCAACATGACATAATATTGGGTTGGTTGCTTCCTTGCTTCTCTTGTTTAATTTCTGCATTATTGGCTATCACCAGGAGGATGAGTAGGGGACGTAGGGCTCGCCATTGCTTAAATTATTTGTAATTATATGCTAACTGGTTTGGCATATTAATTATTCGGAACTGATTTTGTTGAATCTTTGCAACCAGGTGGTTGCTTTAGATTTGAGTTGTCGTTCATGAGGCTACCGAGTGAAGATTGTGATTTAGCAAAAGCAACAATACTACCGGTAATCTATATGTTTCTGACTTGTGGTATGATTAAAAAAGTAATGCTTGATCGATTTCTATATTGAATAAATACTAACTAATTTCTAATGGTTTTCAGACGAGCCACTATTGTATGCTTGCTATGCGTTGTGGATGGAACGGGACATCAGATCGCCGGTTAAACAAGGGGCAAGAGGCAATTGATCGAGTTTCGATCCCCAGCAAAGCATTGCCAACATCACTTAATATTGGGTTGGTTGCTTCCTTTCTTCTCCGGTTTAATTTCTGCATTATTGGCTATCACGAGTGGATGATGTAGGGTTGGCCATTTCTTCTATTATTTGTAACGGCATATTAATCATTCGGAGCTGATTTTATTGAATCTCTGCAACCAGGTGGTTGCTTCAGATGTGAGTTGTCATTCATGAGGTTAAGAGTGAAGATTGTGATTTGGCGAAAGCAACAAAACTACTGGTAATCTATATGTTTCTTTATTTTATGCAAGACACGACAGCTATTCCAAGCATGATAATTTGGACTGCGTTGAACATGCAAGGCTATGTAGAAGAGAAATATACTCTATGTTGTGTTGTATCAATAGTTTGCATTATATTAATAAAGAAAAAATGTTCACAATTATAAGTAACGCATCTTGGTATTTTATGTGAAATTGACCCGTTCGTCTTAGCATGATTTGATATATATTAGAATGATAACTTTTTTTAGTCTATATATTTATTTTAAGATCTAAGTCTATTATTGTTATTCTTTTATTTATATATGAATATTTCGTAGACACGTGCGTGTCGCACGTGCATTTCCACTAGTATATATTGACCCTCCTGTAAAGTGCATACTAAAACACGATACGGAGATAGGAGAGTCCCGTAAATCCCCAAGGTAGCTAATTAATTTTTTTTCCTTACTTATCCCTCTATTGCGCTGTTATCCTATGTTTCATCCGTGTCATCCTAGTCCTAGTATGTTTCGTCCTGCTTAAGGGTACAATTTCCTAAGCATTCCATTATAATTATTTTATTTATTCTAGTACCATTTACCACAATTTCCTAAGCATTCCATTATAATTATTTTATTCGTTCTAGTGCCGTTTACCGTCGTCTATACTACTAACTAGTGTAGTATGATTTTTTTATTGATAATTTCAGTACTGCTTACTACAATATATCGTGTATGCTATCCGTCGTGTATACTAGTTTACTATGATTTATTTTATTGATAATGTCAGTACCGCTTACTACAATCGTGTATGCTAGTTTATGAGGAATAGCAAATGTTTCATATTTCAACAAAAGAAGAAGAAGCACCGGATGAAATCAGCAGGGCCAGCTATCGTCCGGCGGATCAGATAGCTTGCGCAAGCAAGGAGCGTCAGAAGCGCGCGTATGCATGTGCCCCTCTCTGCTACGATTTTTTTTTTAAACTAGGTAAATGCACGTGTGTTGGGATGGAACATATAATACCAAGACAATATATGTATAAGCATGTGTTATATTTACCTAAAATAGACAGTGCAATCGTAATGTTCCAATCAAACACATGTTTTACATATATATTGTACAAAAGAATCTAATCTCTCAATAGTTCGACCAGGAGAACATGCTTTGCATGAACACCAAGCTACAACTGGTCACCAATCAAAGGTGATCCAGAAGATTTTTAAGTCCAAGATGCGGCGTCTGACTTCTTGCAGCTGAAGCATGTAGATGGCTCAAGCTGTAGTTAGAAGTATCCTGCATATACGTTGTTTATTAATTTTTAAAGTTAAAGTACTATTAATATCCTAAAAAAATATGTATTGACATGTGATGCATTACCTCTTTTATGGAGTTAGAACCTCTTTATATACGTTATTCTTTGTGAATATATTCTTTGTTGGTTTATTCTTCCCATTCCCTTTCTCTTTCCCCTTATTCACGTCCTTCTCAGCAGCCGGCATGGCTAGGATTCTAATGTTCGATCTTGCCGTAGCTCTTGATAGCGCCACGTACAATTGCCCGTGTGAGAACACTGGTTCTGGAAAGTATACCCCGACGTTAGGGATAGTCTAGCCCTGTGCCTTGTTAACGGTCATCGCGAAGCTAAGCCGAATAGGGAACTGCTTTCGTTTAGATTAGAAATGAAACATCTCATCATCCGACGGGCATAAGGGTATGCGAGGTAGAAAAATCCACTTTCCAGCGTGCTGTCCCAACACAATTTCTGCGTCTATGGTATTCTTTTGGAACCCCGTACGATAAGCCTGGTACCATTACAAAGTCCGTTCGCAGGGTCAATGTTTCTAAGCAACATGACTGGACAACCAATCTTCAGCTTCAACACATGTGGAGGTAGACCATTGGGTGTCAAAGTGTTAAGGAATTCATTAGGATAGTAGTTGTGTGGATCATCCACTGCACAGTCAAAGCTATGGTACACCATCTCATCCCCATGGAAACGACCTATCATCTTCATATTAATCATATCAACCCAGTCGTTCCTTGTATATAAGATCGCTCGAGAGGTGATATAACCTTTGCTTGACATATTTGCATTGAGGTTAGGGAATATACAATCAATTAGAGTATCAAGGTCACTATCTTCCCTGGTGTGCGGTATGCATATGTCATGAGGAAGACGAATTTCATCATCAACAGTCGCCTCCTTAGATCCTCCACCGACACGCAACAAGTACTCTGCAAACCACGGGTCACTCTTTGCCCTCATGTTGCGCACCAATTTTAGATGTCACATGGAATCCCAAATGTATGACATCCGTAGCGAGGCACCGACCACCTGAGCCCTCGACCCTCTCCGAACAACGGGAAGAACCTGTCTGAAATCTCCACTGAACACCACGGTCTTCCCTCCGAACGGTAGCTCTGGTCGATCCATTATATCACGGAGACTGTTGTCCAGCGCCTCGACAGACTATCTCTTTGTCATGCTAGCCTCGTCCTAAATAATGAGAGATGATGCTCAAAGTAGCT